TTTTTTTGTAAAGAACGCCCGTTTGCTTTAAATTTGAAAAATACAATTATTTTTTTATTTTGTATACAGCTGTCATTTGTTACAAATGAAGAAAAGTCCAAGAGTTGCCAAGTATAAATAGCTTTATATCTATATATTAAAATAATAATTTACAATAATAATTTATTTAATTAATACTTTATTAAAATACAAATTTGAAGTGCAAATACATTTGTAAAACTGTTTATCACAAAATGTTATTAATTGTTTACAAGCATACTATAGTTTTCATGCATTTTGAGAATAAATAATCTAATATGTGTACATATATATCGTCGTTTAAAGTACAAAACCGCGTATCGTCATTCTGCAAAACCGTGTGACTGACATTGGCTGCCAAAAATTGGATTTGCTCACAAAAGCTCTTGGCTCAATTCTTATCCATTCGTCCTGAAATATACTAGCCAGAAATACGTTTGCTTTATAAAAAAGATAACCATTTTGAAATATCGGTGACTTTACTCTATAGAAAATAATTTATGCAATTACGCGGTTTTGCATTTTCTTGATACGCGGTTTTGTACTTTAAACGACGATATGTATAGCATGTACTTACGGCGGCCGCCGTAGCAGAGTGATTACATGTGCGTACTTCCACTCCATAGGACCATGGTTAAATACCTGGTCAGATCATAACCCAAAATAGCAGTCGTCCTTCGGCACGCAATGGCAAACCTTCGAGTATATTTCTGCCTTGAAAACTCTTCTTATAAAATCAGAACTCATGCCTCAAGTTTGAGCAGAAGTTCGGCCAAACACTTAGAAAAATATTTTAGCACCAAATATTTATTTGTTTACTTATTTTGAGGTTGATGGCAATCTTCTGGTTTTGATTTTGAGTACAAAAATTTCAACCCTGATACAACAAATAGTATTAGTACTGAATGATATTGACAGATTGCATTCCCATAAACGTCCAATCATACATGATTGAGTTCTCTTTTTGCATTCACATTCTCTATGTGAATGGGTGTCAACCATTCCATAACACACTACATATTTTGTGTTTACAATTTGTAACCAATCTCAAGAGTGGTTGTTAAATTTTTTACATCAAACAATCACATTTTCGAAACGAAAAAAATGAGAATGCACACTCAATTGATTCAATCATTACACAGCTCTGATTGTATTGCACAGAAAATACAACCATTTATTGAGTTATATTTTTTTGATCAAAAATAAAACTCATTTTTCGTTATTTTTTGCTCTGAAATAATAACTATTTTGTGAGTTGTTTTCTTTTTGATCAAAAATAATCATTATATTATGAGCTTTATATTATTATTATGTTATTATTGATCACAAGTTATCATTATTTTTTTAGTTTTATTTTTTTTCGTTTTTGTTATTATTTTTTTTTGCCTTTATAACAATTATATTCAACAATTTACATTGAGCTCGAGGCCGTTTTTTAAATCATAATTTTATTGTGGAAAAGCAACAATAATTTGAAAAAATGGTAGAAGTGATAGCTATTTCGGAAATCACCACATTTCCTCATCAGACTTCTTTCAGTAGGATTCGAACCGACGATCCCACTGACTCAGCCGGTTGCTTATGCACCGTGCTAAGTACGCCTTGTAAATTATCGTTTGCTTTTTTCCACTATTTTCATTTTTGTTATGCCAACACAATCAAGCGCAGCTATTCCGCTGCAATTCACTTGATCATGTGGTTGTTGGTATTGTTGGTTTATGTAAAAAATTCTATTTTTAGAATGTTTAACTTTTAGGTGTGCTCGTCCTTAAGTTATTTGTTTCTGTTTTTTTTGGCCTTTATAACAATTATATTCAACAATTTATATTGAGCTCGAGGCCGTTTTTTAAATCAAAATTTTATTGTGGAAAAGCAACAATAATTTGAAAAAATGGTAGAAGTGATAGCTATTTCGGATATCACCACATTTCCTCATCAGACTTGTTTCAATAGGATTCGAACCGACGATCCCACTGACTCAGCCAGTTGTCTATGCACCGTGCTAAGTACGCCTTGTAAATTATTGTTTGCTTTTTTCCACTATTTTCATTTTAGTTATGCCAACACAATCAAGCGCAGCTATTCCGCTGCAATTCACTTGATCATGTGGTTGCTGGTATTGTTGGTTTTTGCTAATAATTCTATTTTTAGAATGTTTAACTTTTAGGTGTGCTCGTCC